GAGGGCACAGGGCCTGGCACAGGTCTTAGGTCTTCAGACATGTTTCATCATTTCTGATGCAAGCCTTCAAAGCGAGAGAGCAAGTGACATCAACCCTGGTCTGACTGAACTCAACAGGTTGCTGAATAAATATTTTGTATTTTATCAGACTTTGAAAAGGTCTAACCCCTAGGCCCTGAGCAACTTAGGGCCTAGGGGTACATAGCACTGAGCCCCACCCTAAACCCTAAACCCCTAATGTCAGCCTTCTGAATTGCTACGNNTTCCTTGTTCGGCGCATCGCACAAGCAAAAAAAGAACATCACTGTTGAAATGGCTGCACATCACTTTTATAAGATATGTCCTTCCGAGCGCTGCTGAGGACTGCGACCTTTCCCCAAAAGCGGCTCCAGAAACTCGCCAAGGACGCTAAAGGCGTCATTCAAAAAACCCCATGCAAGCCAAACCTCTAGGGTTCCAAAGGAACTAACCATCCGAGGCCAGCCGCCTGCGTCCTTCTCCGCCGGCACGTGCTCCCCGCCCAGGGCCCCACAAGGAGCCCCCGGCATGGGCTCACAGCCAACAGATACAGGTGCGGCAGCGGCCTGACGGGCAGCGGCGCTCACTTCTTGGCCTTCATGTCAGGCTTCTCTTTCTCCTTTTCCGTCTCCTTCTCCTTGTCCGAAGTCTTCCACCAGCTCTTCCCTTTCTTTCCTTTTCCTTTGCCTTTCCCTTTTCAGGGGGGCACCCAACTTTCTTGACCTTCGAATCCTTTGCCTTTGCCTCCCCACGAGGTCCAGCCCTGTTCGGACTTGGCAACAAGGCGAGCATGTTTTTGCGCAGCAAGAAGGGTTTCTGGACGAGCGAGGTTGCCGGAGTCCATCGTTTCCACTTCCAGAAACCTTGCGGTACTCCAGCTCCCGCTGGAGGCCGCAACCTCGAGCGCCATGATGCACCCCGCGAGGGCATCGGCGACTTCGCTGATCCTTCCTTGCTGCAGCAAATCGGAGCATCGGACCAGGAGGTACAACTCGTGCAAATCTCTCGGGCGACTGGCAAACTTCTCCTTCCAGAAAAGCTGGAAGAACAGGGTCAGTTTGACCTCGCTCTCCACGTGGGAGCTTGCGCTTCCGCGCCCCTCGCCAGCCTCCCTCTCTGAGAGCATCGCCCTTGCGTGCGCCAGCAGCTCCTCCATCACAGCGCCAGGCTTTTTCTCCGCTTTTCGCCTGATGGGCGGAATTCTCTTTTTCCTTTTTCTTTCCTTTCTTCCTCTTCCTCCTCGGATCCAGATCGTTTCCGCTCTAGGTTCCGGGCCACGATGCGATCCTCCAGAGAATCCTGCTTCCGCCCTGAGTCCGACAGGCTCTCCGCGTCCACCACCTCTGGCTTCACTGCCACTGGCCACCCGGGGCCGCCATCGGTCAGGGCAGGAGGCACCCTTTCCTCCACCACACGGTTCTTTGCTTTTACAAACCGCCCGGAGGATTGAACCTCGGCCTGGGACCCCAGACCAGCCCGGCTCTTCAAATTCTCCAAGCCCCCAAAGAAATCCAGGCTCCGAGCTCCCAACCCCGATTCGGGGACAGCAGTTCTCGTTCTCTTCGGGGGCCGGGCCGACGCCCAGAACTCTTCGCTGCCGGCTCCTTGACTTCGACCTCCTCCACCGTGGTCTTTGCCCTGAAAGCTGTGTTGAACTCCTTCAGGGCCCTCATCCCGTGAGTAGTGCACAGCGCCCCCTCGTACGCCAGAGAAGAATACATTATCAAGTCGTCCACATGCAGGTACCGCGCTGAATAAAGCCGCTCGCCCAGCCTGGCGGAGATACCCAAAACCGCAGCCGGACGAGGGTTCCCACCTGGCAAGGGCTCGAGCAAGGCCTCGATCACCGCACCATCCTGGAGCTCGAGTGAAGCCCACGAACCTGGGCTTTCCCAAAAGAAAGGTAGCCCTAGGCTCTCTAAATCCACCTCCACATCTTCTTCTCCTTCTCTCACCTCCTCGGCTTCCTCTCCATAGGGAGCACTCTCTCCTGACGTTACGCCAGGCGGTCACGCCAGTGCTGACGTCTCGGGAGGTCCAAATCCTCGTGGGATAACCTCCTGTGACTCAAAGCCCCTTCGCGCTTCCGAGTCACCTGCTGGTGCTTGCGGCCGCTGCGGTGCCGCTTATCCTTCTTCTTCTTTTTATTCTTTTTAGCAGATCCAGCCCTCACGTCCTCCACCTCAAGCTCACGCTTCCTGGCAGCCTCACGCAAAACCAGGTCAGGGGCTCGGATCACTGGTTCAGGAGGAGGTGCAGAGCTTTTAGCCGCAGCTTCTTCAGCTTTCACCTCTTCAGAGAAGGACTCGTAGGTATACTCGTCCTCGTCCAAAGCTGGGGCCCCCTCGCGTCCTCCACCAACAGCCTCGGCGACGGGGGCAACCACTGGCGCCACCGAATCGGGGGTTGGGCCTACCGCCTCCTCGGCTCGTCGCCCCTCCCCTCCAGCCGGTCCAGCAGGACCAGCACGGACAGGAGGAACAACAGCCGGGGGGCTCCTGGCCGCACCCGATTCAAAAGCAAGCGCGTACCGCGCCTGCTCTGTCAAAACCCACCCGCCCAGCTCACCAAGGCGCTTGACGTGCCGGGTTGCGGTGAGCAAAATCTCCTCGGCCAACTCACGAGCCGGTTGGCACGGCCACCTCCTGCCCAGCTCCAACTGGGCAACTTCAAGGGCCCTGCAACCCAGGCACCACGTGTCGCCAGGACTCCTTATTCCCTGGCGGCACTTGTTGCAGGCCATAGGCTTGAGCTCAAATTGGCTGCGCCTTCACATGCAAAAAGCTTTTCGACACTCACACTAACATTCGTCACGAATATCATGGAAATTTTGGAACCAAAGGTGGTGCGGAAGGCCAGATAATTGAGTGCCAGAGAAGCTAGGCTGCCCGCAAGGGAAATGGCTGGTTGTATTTAAGTAATTTTCGATGTCTCCTATGCCTCTTCAATGATGAAATTGATCCTCATGACCGAATTCGAATTGGTATCAGTTATCATGACCTCGCAGCTTCCCGCTATGTCGCCCATCACGAGAATTAGGGGTGCGTAGTTGGTGCCGCGTGCTGTCAGTCAGTGGGGCCTACAGGTGGTCCGTAAGAATTTCTTCCGCTCATCAGCCTGACATCGCGAAACGCAACTGAGGACTTGCCCATTACAAGCATAAGCAGTAATGTGGTTCAATGCGTTGCGCAATGCTGCATCTCCATGAAGAAAACACCTGGTGGCCTCATCAACAAATGAACATGCATTCAGATTATGAGGCATCATGAAGAAAATCGTAAATGTTGAAAGGGTACTTCACCATCTGAGTTTGCAAATGAAATGCACCCAAGTTCAGACAGTCAGTGGATGACTGTTTGGACTCCACATGCATCATGAAGCAGACCTCGAATAAGGCCAAACTAGTCTGAGCGCTAGGCAGGCAGGCAAGTACCCCGTCTTGTTTTGAACGCAACTTTCCCGACAACCAAGCGTCATGCGGGCAAGCATCGAAAATCCTACCCACAAGTGGCAACCACAGCAAGCGACCTGCTGCGCAGCGAGTTCGCAGGATGCAAAAGTTGCAGAGTAGCCTAAACAGATTCAAGCTGATGCTGTCGAACAGAAGAACCCACTTGCCACTTGCGTTCACAAACGGTGTCTGACTACTGTGCGTGAAAACGAATATTTGCTCAGGGCACCCTGTGTGCAGGATAGTGATAGCCAAGCATCTTACTTGCATTTCGTCTATGATCATGTTCATTCTTCCCTGCTTTCAGGGAGCAATTTGTGCATCTCGGGGATCCAAAAGAACAAAGCCTCCGGCCAGGCTGCGGAAGCTCAAGTCTTCAAACAAATCCGGGCGTGAGAAGTGGGGCCATTCCCGGAGCTTTTCTTCCAAGGTACGGTTTCTTCCTCCCCTAAACAGGTCACCTCACGCATAGAGTTATGGAGGTCTCTAAGGAACCCTACGCACACTCAACGAAGCTGTTGGAAAGCAAAGCTACCTCACACTATGACAGACATCGCGCCGCCGGAGCTGTGAGGCCCGCCGATGTCGGGGCACCCTCCATGCGCGAAATCTTCAGACTCAAACGCTGCCAGCAGAGCCGCTGCACTTTTTTCAAATTTCTGTTCCTGGGCTCTTGCATGCGAACCCTTCAAACTCTTCGGGGATTGGGAAGAGACGACAGTCAAAATCCCAAAAACCCTAAACCCAAAACTTGCTTGTTTCCATCCCCGAGTCAGCAAAGTCTGTTTTGCATTTCGCAAGGAACTGGTGATCATGTACTAAGCAGGTCTGGTTGATGGTCTTCTCTCGCTTGATGATCGACCAGGTGCAGCCAGATTCCCCGGCTGTCTTCGAAGGCACCTTTAGGGTTTAGGGTTTAGCCTTCAGGGTTCAGGGTTTAGGCTTCAGGGTTTAGGGTTTAGGCTTCAGGGTTTGGGCTTCAGGGCTTAGGATTTAGCCTTCAGGCTTTAGGATTTAGCCTTCAGGCTTTAGGATTTAGGCTTTAGGGCTTCTGGACCTCTCCAGGAGCACAGTGGCCTCCCTTGGGCAAGCTGTACCAGAAACCCAATGGGCTCGTGCCAGTGCACCTGCTCCTGGGTTGAAAAAGTAGAGAACTTAAGTTGGATCATTTAGTGGCCTAAATGATTCCAATAAGGCTTTAGGGTGTTTCATAGTAAACTTATGGTCTTGAAATACACGGATTATAGGAGAAGACTACTGGCGATGACTGGGTTGCTGTTAAGGAACTTAAATTAAGTTACCATAATGGGTACATATATAGTAAATAATAGTGTTTCCCCAATATAGTAACTTAAATTAAGTTCCTTAACAGCAACCCAGATTATTTAGGCTTCTACGTTACTCCACAGAATTCGACTCCGCCTTGGTAGCCCAACGGACAAAGCACTAATTCCAAGACCCCACCACGAACAATTTCTTTTCAGAATCCCCCGCAAAACTCCCTAAACACCAAACCCCTAAACCCTAACCTTTAGCCCCCCTAAACCATAATCCTTAACCCCAAACCCTAAACCCACTTAGGGCTCAAAAAACCCCAAGTCGCTCTGAATCAAAGCCCAGGGTCTCGCCGTCGCCTGCAAAGAAGGGCGCCTCCTTGCCGGCCAATCGCAAATCGCCGCCGACACAGATCTGTTTAGGGTTTGGGGTTTAGAGGGTTTAGGGTATGGGTTATTGGTCAGTATATACCCAGACCCCCTAAAGGATCCAAAAAATGGAACCCCCTAATAATCCTCTAGTTTCCCCAATGTAGTGCTGGGTTCATATTGGGGGGGTTCCATTTTTGGATCCTTTAGGGGGTCTGGGTAGGGGTAATATAACTGTAATACAGGGTATATATCGGGATAATGGAGGAGAACTACTATTCACGGTTTAGGCTTCAAATCTCAAAGCTCCTTGGGACCACAGCATGAAGACGTATCATTTATTTCAGTCCTTGTTGAGTTAAGTGTAGGGCTTTAGGGTTTATAGGGGCTCCCAACCCAACTCCAAACATTAAGAAGGCTTGGAGTTCAGGGATATCTAGGCTTGTATATGCATAATGTTGTATGACTTATTGTGGGGATATACGAGTAAATGGTAGTTTCTCAAAATTGGGGGGGGGACCCCAATATGGATCCCAATATACTACAATCCTCACTACGGTGACCCCCAAGAAGGTACCCCAAACTTTGAGAAACC